TGCCGCAGAAATCGCTGAATGAACCTCTTCCGCGGGGTGGTGTTTCCTTTGTCGGAAATGCTGCCCACTGCTGCCACGGAGATCGCTGAATGAACCTCTTCCACGGGGTGGTGTTTCCTTTGTCGGAAATGCTGCCCACTGCTGCCACGGAGATCGCTGAATGAACCTCTTCCACGGGGTGGTGTTTCCTTTGTCGGAAATGCTGCCCACTGCTGCCACGGAGATCGCTGAATGAACCTCTTCCACGGGGTGGTGTTTCCTTTTTTAGAAATGCTGCCCACTGCTTCCACGGAATTTGTTAGTTGAAAACTTCTTCCATGGGGTGGTGTTTCCTTTTTCAGAAATGCTGCCCACTGCTACCACGGAACGTCACTACCACGCGTCGCGTTTCAATTCCGAATAATACAGTCGCGGTATTAATATCCGGCTCGAAGGACCAATTGGAAACTGTAGTGATTATTAATTGTGGAACGACGTGCACTTTTAACAACGATTTATTGATTATTATGTACATGTCAATATATATATTATATGATGAAAGTATTTATGTGTTTTCGCGACGCGTGCCCGTTGACGGGTTGTTGGTGACTGTGCGTCCGCCACTCGTTCGTCCAGGAGGGCGGTCATAAATAAATTTGGGGGTGGTACCGAACACCCGACGAGAGCCGAGCAGCCGAGAACTCCGGGTGGTACCACACACCAAGACTTGATGAATTTACCGTCTCTAACATATCATACAGTTTAAGCAATATGTACTTGTAACAAAGATCCAACAATGTGGAATACATTATAAGTTCTGACTCTTCAATGGGTCCACAGAAAAGATTTAATTTGAATAAAAGCGGCACTACCTGGAATTTTGGTAAAATAAATTAGCATCACATTTCTTAACTCACCTCAACGAAGAGGTAAGCGTTGAAAAATATTTGAGACATGTTGTACAACATCAGGACTTTTTTCATCTCAAACTGCTGCCTGTTCTTCATCCAGATTGGTCCCAGTTTGAGGACGAATAAAAGGTAGAAAACTATGAGGATTAGAGGTTGGAGTGGTGTTTGCAGAAGCGTAAACTGACAAATTTCGGCGACTGAAAAAATATTAAATGTTTATAATGAATCGTGCAGGCGAAAGTTTTTATTTTTATGATGAATTTCAGATTTAAAAAATGAATACTGAACTGAATATATTTTTTTCACAATGGTATTCAAAAAATCAGTAATTAAATAAGAATAACTTACTTCCCATTGTTATTAAAATTGTGATAGTCTACGCCTGTGTTTCTGTTGTGGTCCTGCTTGTATTAGTTATACTAAAATGATAAACATTTTAAATAATAATCACAGTGCGAGTGGCGATAAAATAAAAGCCTAAACGTAATAAAGTGCTTGTGCGTAAAAACTGCAATTAGAAGAAAACTGGAGGATTTAGGTTGATTACTACAAAAAATTACCATTTTAGACTTGTTTTAAGTTTCTTGTTGTCAAAATAAATCTACAAATACTAAGAAAAAAAAGAAAATGTATCCCCGCCCACCCGCCCTATCTCAATTGTGATGATTTTTTTTATTCGGGGGGATGGAGAAATTAAAAACATGTGTTTGAATATCGTGTTATTCAAAGAATACTATGTATATTAGGAAAAAAAATAAAGGCCAAGATTAGGCCCCACCCATACCCGCCTCGACCTCCATTCTCAGTTGTGATGAATTTTTCATTTGTTGTCAGATAGAGGGGCGGGGCTTAATTGCAAGATCCATATTTGTCTACAAGAATTTACCATTTTATATATGCTTTAAGATTCTTGTTCTTGGAAAGACGACTACGTATATTAAGAAAACAGACAAAATATAAGCCCCACCCACCCGCCCTATCTCAATTGTGATGATTTTTTTTTTAATCGTCGAGAGCCAAAGGGGCGGAATTTAAATGGAAAATTCGTATTATTTCTGTACAAAAAATTACCATGTAAGACATTTTTTTGAGTATCGCGCTATTCATTCATTCGTTGGACAACCAGCGGCGAAGCTTAATTGCAAAATCCATATTTTCTTAACAAAAATTTACCATTTTAAACGTGTTTTAAGTTTGTAGCAATTAAAACAATCATCACAATTGAGATGGGGTGGGTGGGCGGGGTTTATATTTTCCCTTACTTTCTTAATATACATAGTATTCTTTGAACACGATACTCAAAAACATGTTTTTAATTTCTTGTAAAGAAATAAGTATTTTGCAATTAAGTTCCGTTCCTTGGTTCACGACGAATAAAAAAAATCATCACAATTGAGATAGGGCGGGTGGGCGGGCTTACATTTTGCCTTTTTTTTTAATATGTGTAGACTTTTTTTTACAACATGAAACTTAAAACATTTTTTCATTCGTCGTGAACCAAGGGGAACGAAATCCTCGGAAGAAAGATGTTGCTTCTCCGGAGGGAATCGAACCGCAAGTTTACAGCATGCCGGGCGCGTGCCCTTACCACTACACTACGGAGGAGTTTATTTTTCTTCGCTTACCACTACTTATTATTTTGTAGCCACATCCTTATTTCTCTACAAGAAATAACAAACAGGTTTTTGAGTATCGTGTTGTTCAAAGAATACTAAGAAAAAAACAAGCCAAAAATTAATCGACAATCCCTTATATAAATGTTCCATTTTAAACATGTTTTAAGTTTCATGTTGTGAAAAGAAGTCTACACATGTTAAAACAAAAAGGCAAAATATAAGCCCACCCACCCGCCCTACCGCCATTGTAAAGATTTTTTTTATCCGCCGTGAACCAAGGGGGCGGAGCTTAACTGCAAAATACTTATTTCTTTACAAAAAATTAAAAAAATACGATTTTAAATGTGTTTTAAGTTTCTAACAATAAAAAATTATATATTATATATATTATATTTTGCCTTTTTTTCTTAATATACAAAGTGTTCTTTGAACAACGCGGTACTCAAAAACATGTTTTTAATTTCTTGTAAAGAAATAAGTATTTTGCAGTTAAGTTCCATTTCTTGGTTCACGACGAATAAAAAAAAATCATCACAATTGAGATAGGGCGGGTGGGCGGGCTTACATTTTTCCTTTTCGTTTTAATATGTGTAGACTTCTTTTTACAACATGAAACTTAAAACATTTTTTTATTCGTCGTGAACCAAAGGGAGTAAAATCCTGGGAAGAAAAATGTTGCTTCTCGGGTGGGAATCGAACCGCACGTGTACCGCTTGCCGGGTTGGTGCCCTTACCACTAGACTACGAAGGAGCTTATCTTTCTTCGCTTACTATCAAATGATATCAAGTCCCCAAAATTACACAGGGAAAAGTAAACGCGAGAGCAAAATCAAAATACGTCTTTATTCCTCAAGAAGAAAGAACAGACTGCCCCCTTCACTGCTTCCCTTGCATCTTATCTAATGTTTATATTAACCAACGATAATCAACCCTCAGACGGCTGGAATTTCGGCTGGCGCGACATCATATCGGAGCACCAGCGAGGTCCCGTTGCTAACACACTACTTATTATTGTGTCGCCACATCCTTATTTCTCTACAAGAAATAGCAAACAGGTTTTTGAGTATCGTGTTGTTCAAAGAATACTAAGAAAAAAACAAGCCAAAAATTTATCGACAATTCCTTATATACATGTTCCATTTTAAGTTTCATGTTGTGAAAAGAATTCTATACATGTTAAAACATAAAGGCAAAATATAAGCCCGCCCACCCGCCCTACCGCCATTGTAATGATTTTTTTTATTCGCCGTGAACCAAGGGGGCGGAGGCTTAACTGCAAAATACTTATTTCTTTACAAGAAATTAAAAAAATTACCATTTTAAATGTGTTTTAAGTTTCTAACAATAAAAAAAAATCATCACAATTGAGATTGGGTGGGTGGGCGTAGTTTATATTTTGCCTTTTTTTCTTAATATACATAGTATTCTTTGAACAACGCGGTACTCAAAAACATGTTTTTAATTTCTTGGGTGACGACGAATAAAAAAAATCATCACAATTGAGTTAGGGCGGGTGGGCGGGCTTACGTTTTGCCTGTCTATTAATATGTGTAGACTTATTTCGACAACAAGAAACTTAAGACAAGTCTAAAATAGTAAATTTTTGTAGTAATCAATTTAAATCCTCCACTTTTCTTTTAAAACCTCTTTAAAAGTTGAACATCAAAGTTACAACAGCAAGTTTATAAATCCCACTTAACAATGGTCTAGTTCTTAATAAAATCTATCAAGACATTATTTTTACTTCTCAATCGTAAATGAAGGAAGTATTGTAATCAAGTTTGTCGGCCGAGTCCCTATTTTACATTTTCTCGACCCCTAAAATACGAATAAATAGGTCTCTGGTTTCCGTCTGTCTGTCTATCTGTCCGTCTTACTGCCGACCCAATTTTTTTTGTATGTTTTTGCAGAATGATTCTTCTGCAATTTGGGAAATAATGTAAGGGTTTTAAGGCTTCTGTAAAAAATCGACTTTCTTTAAGAAACAGAATAAGATTAGGTCTAGAATGAACAGGTAACACTGTTCTTGAAAGAAAACCGTGTTTTAAATTAATAAGTTTTGAATAAAAATGTCGTACTTTCCATTGTTGTTAAAATTATAATAATTATAGTAAATGCTTTTCAAACTGAAGGGTGGTGTACCACTTTTCTAAGGTAAACTTACTACTTCACTATAATTTCAAACACTTTTGTTGCTGCACACGCACCTGAACACTGAATTTTGGCGAAATAAACGATATGTTAAATAAGACGTAAATAATTCATGTTGCAAAGTTTTCAAAGTGTTACCGTTAAAATTTAAAATACTTAGTTTAAATAAATAATTTACAGGTGTTTTCTATGCAAGTGTGTTCTGGATAAATACAGTACTTACGGACCAACCGTATAAAATTAGTCCTTTCTGCACAATTTTGTCTGTCTAATGCATCCCATTGTAAGTATGCAACCAACAATACACCCCAATCCTCGTCATAATAAATCAAACACAAGATCGTTAAGCAAAAAGTATATTCATACAGCATCCCCACTATCAAATAAAACTTGGGGCTGGTTATAAGATACACATACCCTAACATAAATAGGTATTAAAAATTAACCTACAAACACACAAGGCACATTTAACATATCGATCAAAATGATAAAAGCGAAATTAAGTGCGGACATAATACTGAAATAGAATCGTTCCAGTGTAATGGTACAGTACAAATCAACGATAAAAACGGGTTATGTAACACTATAAAATGCCAAACGATCACAGAGTTTTCTTTGAGACGTAGACTTCATTGGTCGAACAGTTCATTAAGCGTTGAGTCGGGGCTCCTTGGGCAGGCGTCGATTAACTTTTCGCCGCCGGTCAATGGATGATGTCTGTGGTAGTCAATGAGATCACCTGCAACAACAAATACATAATTAATGCACCGGAAGTGGACGTCAGCAACAAAGGAAAGTCGGTAATTGATACACGAATCATGAAGTAGACAGCTGCACAGTACATCTTGTGACCTTTTGTAAGCATAAGTCACAGAAAATAGTAATGGATTGGTAAAAACCGTTAGGTGGAATAACAATGGCGAAACGAATTGACGTTTTGGGTCTAGGTGCTGACACTCTTTTTTTTGTATATTTATGGTGGAAAAACTTTGAGGAAGTACTTTCGCTTGAACTGGCAGGAATCATTCTAATTAGACACTGACTATTGTTTAAACTTTTATTATTTTTATATGGTCGGGAAGGTTAGACGGAGATTGAGATAAAATTCTTTGGGTTGGGAACGAGGGAAATTAAAATGTCTGAGATTGTAGACGCCGATAGCCATTCTAATGGTAATTATTCTTGTTATTGGAGTAAAGTGTCTGCGTTCCATTCGTATCACATTTATTGGCAAAAATATACATTGTGTATTGATCAAAATATTTAACTACCTTTCACGAAATAAACAATAATTTGTCGTTTCTTGCGCAATTTAACAAACGTTTCAAGTGTTTGTTTAAAAATGAATTGGTTGTAAACATTGACACCTTCCTGCAATCTATTTCACAAACCTAAATTTAGAAAAAAGCGATTGTACAGTTAATCAGTTTTATGTTTCTGAAGCAACTGATCCGATTTAATCTAATCTGACTTGTGATTGTTATTATTATTATTATTATTATTATTCAACAATGATTTATAGTTCTCTAGTGACACTATATAGACAAAAAAATGTAGACCATGTGTTTCGTCGCGATAAAAAGCATCGCGGGAAATTTTTTCCGGCTTCGGAATCCGGGTGACTGTGCATGCGTTCATTTATCGGCACATTCTAAAGAATACCTGGTCCATATATGGCCGAGGTAATGTCTCTCCTTTTAGGTCAGCTTTTCAACAAGACAATGGTTCTAAACAAGCTTACGGACTTGTCGAAACCGATTTATAAGAAGAGAATTGCGTGATTGTTGCGCACCCCAGCCGTCGCGAACACCGCATTTCAGTCCCATTGAAAGTGCTTGATTTTTTGAGGCTAATTTGTTCTAGAATCCGCCACTTTCAAAATTATGCGACTAATAATGATAATACAAATAAATAAACACTATGCGCGTAATTAATAGTTTTTTTTTTTATTAAAACCGCACTGCACCCATATCCTCGTTTGCCATTTGAGATTAACAGTTCCCAGAGTTTGCATTACGCAACTGCTTGTAAGATAACCCCGACTCGCTAGTATTATTTATCTAAATAAACGCAATAATTACATGTACATTCCTTTGGCTCGGCGTCACTCATTTCTCCGCGTATAGCTCATTAACATTATAGTTCACGGAAAATATTCATATCTTATTCTGCTTTGTATTAGCTTTGATAATTAACACGGAACTGGTGCGTCCCTTCCTGCTAGTCCAACTTTTTACTTTCGCGGATTCCCGGCAGGAAGCGACGCGGAATTTCGATGAAGAGATTTCAGCGGGTTTGAGGTTCTGAGGTCTGGGTTGTGTCGCTGAAGTTTGCGTCAGATTTGGATTTGGAATCGCGGTTTGCTGATATAAATTGGGGTCAATTGGCGTCGGACTAGAATGTAATAAAGATTTTGTTTTTGGAATGACTATATCGAGGTTATAAATTGTCTTCGAAAAGGGGCCTTCAAAAGGATACTTCGAAAGCGATACCTGAACAAGGATACCCGACGAGAATACCTAGAAAAGGTGTCTTCGAATCAGGATACTTCGAGAAGCAGCTTTCGAAAACGGGTTTCTAAAAAGGAAACGTCGGAAAAGAGCCTTCAAAAAGGGGCTTCCGAAAATAGATCCTCGAAAAGGATATCTCGACAAGGATAACCCAACAATGAGACCTTGAAAAAGAGCTCTCGAAAACAAGCCTTCGAAATGTAAACTTCGACAAGGATATCTAGAGAAGTAAACCTCGAAAAGGTGTTTTCAAAAAGGGGCTCTCAAAAAGTATACCTCCACAAGGATATCTTGACAAGGTTACATCGAGAAGGATACCTCGACAAAAATACCTTGAACAGATGCCTTCGAAAAAGGGTACGCAAAAAGGATATTCTGACAAATAGCCTTCGAAAAGGTCAATTCCCCGAGGGTGCTTCAACAGTGATACCCAACAAGGATCATCCGACAAGGAGTGAGCGAAAAGAAGCCCTCAAAAAGAATATCTCAACACAGAGACGTCGGAAAGAGTTCTCAAAAAGAAGCCTTCAAAAATAGTACCTCGACAAGGATACTTAGAAAAAGATACTTCAACAATGAACCTTTCGAGAGGATACTTCGACAAGTATACCTCGAAAAGGTGCCTTCAAAAGGGGGTCATTAAAAAGAATACCTCGATGTCGACAAGAATACCTCCACAAAAAACCTTTAACAAAGATATCCGAATACAGAGACTTTTCGAAAAGAAGCCTTCAAAAAAGATACTTCTACAAAAATACCTCATCAAGGATACCCCCATATGGTATATTCGAAAAGGGACGCTGGAAAAGAAAACCTCGATAAAAACACATCGACAAGGACACTTACACAAGAATACCTTGATAAAGACACCTCCATAAAGAACCTTCAAAAAGGATATTTCGAAAAGAATACCTTGAGAAGGATACGTGGAACAGCGGCCCGCAAAAAAATACCTCCACAAGGAGTCTTCGAAAAAGGGCCTTCAAAAAGGATGCCTCGACAAGGATAACCAAAACACCACCTTGACAAGGTGCCCTCGAAAAAGGGGGCCTCAAACAGAATATCTTGACAACGGTACCTCGACAAGCATACCTGGAAAAGATGCCTTCAAAAAGGGCCCTTGAAAAAGAATTTTCAAAGGAGCCTTCAAAAATTATAGGTACTTAACAAGGATACCCGATAAGGATACCTCGAAAAGTACATATACGTACCTCCAAAAGGTGCCTTTGAAAATTGATTTTAAAAAAGAAATACTTCGACAGAAGTACCTAATCAAAGATACCCACAAAGATGTATTCGAAAAGGGGCGCTCAAAAAGAATACGTCCATAAAAATACGTCGACAAGGACACTTCCACAAGAATACCTTGACAAAGACACCTTCATTACGAACCTTCTAAAAGGGGTCTTCAAAAAGGATAATTCGAAAAGAATACCTTGAGAAGGATACGTCGAGAAAGATACCTCGCCAAGAGGACTTCCAAAAGGATATCTCAACAAGGATACCTCGAATCGGGGCCCGCAAAAAAGTACTTCCACAAGGAGTCTTCGAAAAGGGGTCTTCAAAAAGGATATTTCGAAAAGGATACCTTCACAGAGATATCTTAAGAAGGATACGTCGAACAAGGGCCCGTAAAAAAATACCTTGAAAAAGGGTCTTCAAAAAGGATACTTCAACAAGCATATTCAAGAAAGATACTTGGACAAAGACTTTTCAACAAGGATATTCCGGCAAGAATATCTCGAAAAGTTGTCTTTCAAAAAGGATACCTTGATAAAAATTGGTCTAAAAGGATACCTTCACAATAATACCTCGACAAGGACACCTGCACAAAGAATCTTTGAAAAAGGGCCCTCAAAAAGGATATTTCGACAAGGATAATCAAGAAAGATACCCTAATAAGATGCTTTCGAAAATGGTCCCTCAGAAAGGATATCTCGACTTGGACAGTTTAACAAGGATACCAAACACACATTTCGACAAAGACCCTTTAGAAAGGATATTTCGACAAGGATACCTCGAAATGATACCTTCCAAAAGGATACCTCGATAATAGGACTTCTAAACAGATACCTCGCCATGGATACCTCAACAAAGGATACCTCGAACAGGGGCCGAAAAAAAAATCTCGACAAGGAGCCTCCGCAAAAAGGCTTTTAAAAAGGATATTTCGGCAAGGATATCTCGAAAAGGTGCCTCCAAAAAGGATACCTCGATAAAAATACCTGGACAAGGATCTCGCCACAGAGAATTTTCGAAAAAGGTTCTCAAAAAGGATATTTCGATAAGGATGCCGAGAAAGATACCTCGATAAGACGACTTCTAGAAAGATAACTCGACAGGGATACCTCAACATGGATACAACAAAAGGGGCCCTCAAAAAAAGATACCTCGACAAGGAGCCAAAAAAGGGTTTTCAAAAAGGATATTTCGGCAAGGATCTCACGAAAAAGTGCCTTCAAAAAGGAAACCTTGATAAAAATATGTCGACTAGGATACCTCTACAAGAATAGTCCGACAAGGACAGCTGCCCAAAGAATCTTCGAAAAAGGGTCCTCAAAAAGGATATTTCGATAAGGATGCCGAGAAAGATACCTCGATAAGACGACTTCTAGAAAGATAGCTCGACAGGGATACCTCAACAAGGATACCACGAAAGGGGCCCTCAAAAAAAGAAACCTCGACAAGGAGCCAAAAAAAGGGCTTTCTAAAAGGATATTTCGGCAAGGATATCTCGAAAAAGTGCCTTCAAAAAGGAAGCCTTGATAAAAATATGTCGACTAGGATACCTCAACAAGAAGAGTCCGACAAGGACAGCTGCCCAAAGAATCTTAGAAAAAGGGTCCTCAAAAAGGATATTTCGATAAGGATGCCGAGAAAGATACTTCGATAAGACGACTTCTAGAAAGATACCTCGACAGGGATACCTCAACAATGATACCACGAAACGGGCCCTCAAAAAAAGATATCTCGACAAGAAGCCAAAAAAGGGCTTTCAAAAAGGATATTTCGGCAGGGATATCACGAAAAAGTGCCTTCAAAAAGGAAACCTTGATAAAAATATGTCAACTAGGATATCTCTACAAGAATAGTCCGACAAGGACAGCTGCCCAAAGAATCTTCGAAAAAGGGTCCTCAAATAGGATATTTCGATAAGGATACCGAGAAAGATACCTCGATAAGACGACTTCTAGAAAGATAGCTCGACAGGGATACCTCAACAAGGATACCACGAAAGGGGCCCTCAAAAAAAGATACATCGACAAGGAGCCAAAAAAGGGCTTTCAAAAAGGATATTTCGGCAAGGACATTTCGAAAAAGTGCCTTCAAAAAGGAAACCTTGATAAAAATATGTCGAAAAGGATACCTCTACAAGAATAGTCCGACAAGGACAGCTGCCCAAAAAATCTTCGAAAAAGGGTCCTCAAAAAGGATATTTCCATAAGGATGCCGAGAAAGATACCTCGATAAGACGACTTCTAGAAAGATAGCTCGACAGGGATACCTCAACAATGATACCACGAAAGGGGCCCTCAAAAAAGATACCTCGACAAGGAGCCAAAAAAGGGCTTTCAAAAAGGATATTTCGGCAAGGATATCTCGAAAAAGTGCCTTCAAAAAGGAAACCTTGATAAAAATATGTCGACTAGGATATCTCTACAAGAATAGTCCGACAAGGACAGCTGCCCAAACAATCTTCGAAAAAGGGTCCTCAAAAAGGATATTTCGATAAGGATGCCGAGAAAGATAGCTCGACAGGGATACCTCAACAAGGATACCACGAAAGGGGCCCTCAAAAAAAGATACCTCGACAAGGAGCCTCCGAAAAGGACATTCAAAAAGGATATTTCGACAAGGACAGTTTATAACAAGGACACCTAACACATACACTTCGACAAGGACCCTTCGGAAAGGATAATTCGACAAGGATACCTGGAAATGATACCTTCAAAAAGAATACCTCGATAAAAATACGTCGACAAAGATACTTTTACAAGAGTACATCGACAAGGACATCGCTACAGAGAACCTTTGAAGAGGTTCGCATAAAGATATTTCGACAAGGATACTTTAACAAGGATACGTTGAGAAAGATACGAGTAACTGGACAACAGAGTTTTCAAAAGGATACCTCGAACGGAGGTCCGAAAAAAGATACATCAACAAGGATAACCGAGAAAGATACCTCGACAAGGTTTCCTCGAAAAGGATATTTTAACAAGAATACCTCCAAAAAGGCTATTTTGGGATGGATACGTTGAGAAAGATACCTCAACAAGAGGACTTCCAAAAAGATACCTCGACAGGAATACCTCAAAATATACATCGACAAGGAACCTCCGAAAAAGGGCCTTAAAAAATAATGTTTCGCCAAAGATATTTCGACTAGGGATACCTCGATAAAAATATGTCGACAAGGATACCTCCACAAGAATAGTTCGACAAGGATAACCGAGAAAGATGTCCTGATAAGGTGCCTTCGAAAATGGAGCCCCCAAAAGGATTTCTCGACAAGGACAGTTTAACAAGTATACCCAACATACACACTTCGACAAAGACCCTTCAGAAAGGATACCTCGATAAAAATACGTCGACAAGGATACCTTTACAAGAATATTTCAACAAGGACGTCGTCACAGAGAACCTCAAAAAAGTTCCTCAAGAAAGATATTTCGATAAGAATACGTTGAGAAAGATACCTCGACAAGAGAACTTTCAAAAGAATACCTCGAACGTGACTCCGCAATAAAGATACTTACCTCGATAAGGAGCTTTCGAAAAGCATACCTCAGCAAAGATACTTTGACAAGGTGACTTCGAAAAGGATATTTCGACAAGAATACCTTGACAAGGATACTTTGAGAGCGATACCTCAACAAGAGGACTTCCAAAAGGAAAACGGATACCTCGAACATGGGCCCGCAAAAAAGATACCTCAACAAGGAGTCTTCGAAAGGATCCTTCGAAAAAGATACCGCAACAAGGATAACCGAGAAAGATACCTGAACAAGGTGCCTTTGAATAGGTGCCGTTAAAAAGGATATCTTGACAGTGTACGTCAATCAAGAGACCTGTAAAACGAGATTTTGGAAAGGAGGCTTCAAAAGACAAGGACCAATCGGAACCCCAAAAAGATACTTCGATAGGGATATTTTACAAGGCTACTTCGATAAGACCCTTCAAAAAGAGGCCTTCCAAAAAATATTTCTACAGGGATACCTCTACAAGGGGCCATCAAAAAGGAAGCTTCAAAGAGGAACCCTCAAATAGGAGCCTTCAAAAAAAATATTTCCACAATTCCAAAAGGGGTCATCAAAAAGGATATTTCGATTAGGATACCTCAATAAGAAGGGACTGATAAAACGAATACCTTGAGAGGGATCAATTTAAGTTGGATCAGGTAGGTAAGTAATAAAAGTTTGCATTTTAAATGTATTTATCTTGGGGAAAAATAGTTCGAAGACGGGTTTCCAAAAAGACTATTTCTACAATAATAACTCGAAAAGGAAGCCTTGCGTATAAGCCTTCGAAAAGGAGCCCTAGAAAGTATAGTTCGCCCAGAATACCTCAAAAATAGTTCTAAAAATGAAGCATGCACTGTGTCTTCCTTTAAAAAAAATCAGAACGTACTTTAAGCAAAAAAAACCGGTAGTTGCAATTTTATACAAAAAAAGGACTCAGCTTTATGTCGACAAATAAGAAAGCGGTTTTTATACTCTAGTGAAGATGTTTTTAAATTTGGCTTTTACCTCACTCGGCTATCTAATAACAAGCGGAAATTGCCTGTATAAAATAACATCTCGGACATCCGGGGTATCACTTGAGGGTGGAATGAGGAAGCGCGTGTTTGAATCGAATAAATGTAAATCATCTACAAGGTAATTATATCGAGAAAGTTAAATGCATATGTATTCATGTAAATAGGTAAAAGCTTGCGCAATTTTTTGTAGTAAAGTAGCAAAGAACCCTCGTACACATATTTTTTTTATATAAGCTATAATTAAATTCCAGATAGATAAAAAAAAATAAATAAAAAATCACACTTACGTAGGGAATTGTGTTCGATTTGGTTGTTCCCCAAGAACTGATATTTGTTCGTGGCAGTGGCACTGACCAGATAATGTTTGCACTTCTCTTGTGCCCTATACGAAATGGCATAACCCCAAATTCTCTCCGACAACCTGACCAAAAAGCTCCCATATGGCCTATCCAGCAGCAACTTCTCTGCTTCAGGCCGGGTGATCAGACCATGAAACCACGACTCCACGTTATTCGATGAATCCAAACCCGTCCATTTCGGTCTCTCTGTGTTTCTGTACCATTCGATGACCGCATTCTTCCCTGGGGGTACCCCTGTGTTGTTGACCGTGCTATAAGAAGTATCAATCTCGAAATTCGATGTCAGTCTGTGTTCCTCCCTCGCGCGACGTGCGATTTCGCGGATCTGTTGTTCGGCTTGCTTCGCTTTGCGCTCTGTGGGAGAAGACAAATCGTCAAGGTTGCAGCTATACTTACTTAAAGTGGTACTTATTCCTCACCCTGTTCCATCCAAAGCTGCTCCTGCTTCCTCTCCGCCTCCTCCGCTTCTTTAGCCACCTCCTGCTGCCTCCTCTGCATCTTCTGTAAGATCTGGCACGTCCTCTCCTCCGTCAGTCTCTCCCACAGCGCCACCCTCTGCGCCACCTTCTGCGTGTTCAGCGAGATCTCCTGCAGAACATCCCTGGTATCGATCACATTATACCTATTCTTATTCTGGTATTGGTTCACACTATAATTAAAAGTCTTCGGTTTGTTGTTGATCTTCTCCCGAAGCTCGTCCACCGAGCAGTAGATGTCCATGTCGTCGTCGATCTGCAGCTTGGGGGTGGCTTCAATTTCTTCGATTTTTGGCGTGAGTTCGATGTACAGCTCGGCTTCGACCTGCTTCCTCAGTTCTTCGGCTTCCTTCTCCGCCATCTTCCGAGCCTTATCTATGGCTTCCTCCTTGAGGATCTCCTCGATGCTTTTGTCGTCTTTGTGCTCGCCCATGACCCACACCCACGGCTCCCCGTCTTCGCCCTTGAGGAACGACACCTTTTTCTTCTTGCTGGAGGGCCGGTTCATGTGCGGTTCGTCGCCGAGCTTGTCGTTCCAGACCTTCCATCTTCTGACTTGTTCTTCACGCATTTTGCAGAAGAGGGTTTGCTTCTGTTGCTCGTCAAGCTCGGCGAGGATGTCGGGGTCGACGTACATGTCCCGAAGGATTTGTTGCAACATTATGGATTCTGGAATGAAGAAAGTGGTTGTAGAGGCATGTGGTGTTCTTAATATATGTATAGGAGGGAGTAATTTTTGACACTTGGTAATTTTGACGGAGGTAGACAAATTTTTAATAAATGTTTACAGTGGGGTAGAAATTTTTGATTTTAAGTTTAACGTCAAGTTGACAATTAAGTTTGGATGATTTTCGCACATTGATTTTTGTGAACTGGAAATAGTTTGAGAAGAACACATCAATAAAATGACCCAGTAGTGTTTTTATATTTTGCGTCCAGAAGGGTTCACTTGAGATTTTAGGGGGGAGGAAATTATTTTACTGGTACGTCATTTTACGTACTTTGTGATTTCTTGGTGGTTCATGAGTGTTTTTTTCGGAGCTACAGAACAGAAAAATATATCTGAAGGCCTACGTAACAGATTGTAAAGACAACACGTTCTTCTTACAGTATTTTCGCTCTACGCCATCCGAACTATATTATTAGAAGTAATCCGGTTGGCTTAAAAAAAATGGGAAGTGAAATTTGACCTAATGTGAACTGAAAACCTAATTCACCTAATTTGTCAATTCTTGCCTACTTGACAGTTGTATCTGTTAAAAAGTAACTGACATTTTTGACATTTCTCACACACAAGTGACAGTTTTTTAACCTAAATTCTAAAAAGACGTTTCAAACTATGAAAAATTAATAAAATCTGACAGAACTTTTTCTGACATTTCCCGTTTTTTTGAAGCCAACTGTACTAGAATTTCGGAATGAAATTTACTCAACATCCAAGTTTTTTTAGATTGTGAAAAGGATAAAAATGAATAAAACGTGTTGATTAATCACGAATAACTTTGGAAAAATCTGGTGTTGTAATGACTTAAAGGAGTCAAACTTGGTATGGTCAGGTCAGGTCAAAAAATAGAACTTTAAAGAACTGAACTCATGTTAAAAATATTAAAAATACCGCAAGATAAAAAACTTAGACCTTGTTTTAATTAATTTAACTTCCTAATTCCACTTTTTTCTTTTTCTCCACGTTTAAGTTCCATTTTCGCACACTGATTCTAAAATTCTTTTGTAGACTGAAAATAGTTTGAGAAGAACACACCAATAAAACAACTCAGCAGTGTTTTTTCATTTTGCGCCTGTTTTTTCAGAGCTACAGAAAAGAGAAATATATCTTAGGTCCTACGTGACAAAGATTGTAAAGACAACCTGTTCTTCTCAAAGTATTTTCACTCTACACCACCCTAACTATCAGGGATACTACTAGAATTTCAAAAGTGCCTGATGAAATTTGTGAATAGTGGAGAAGTGTAAAAATAAAAAAAACGTGTTGATTAATCACAAATAACTTTGGAAAAACATGGTGTTTTAATGATTTATAGGAGTCAAAAATGGTCAAGTCTTAAGTTATATCAGAACAAAAAATGTATGTAAAGACTAACTTGACGAATTGTACAAATTGTAAAAATAATATGTTCTTATAGTATTTCTACTCTACATCACTCAAACTACTAGAGATACTATTAGAATTACAAAACCGTCTAACGCAATGAAATTTACTCAACATTCGAGATTTTTTTATTGCAAGAAGGGTAAAAATCGATAAAATGTTGGTTAATCACAAATAACTTCGGAAAAATTTTGGTGTTTTAATGACTTATAGGAGTCACGTCAGATCAAAACAAAAAATATATCTGAAGGCCTACGTGACAAATTGTTAATGACAATGTTCTTCTCATAGTATTTCCACTCAACACCACCTGAACTACTTGATATACTACTAGAATTCCAAAACAGCTTGACGGAATGAAATTTACTCAGCATTCGAAATTTTTGGCATGTGAGAACGGTTAAATTCAATAAAATGTGTTAAATTATCACAAATAACTTAGGAAAAATCTGGTGGTTTAATGACTTATAGGGGTCAAAATTGGTCCGGTCATGTCAGGTCAGGCCAGAACAAAAATATATCTGAAGGCCTACGTGACAATTAATAATGACTATACGTTCTTCTCATAGCATTTCCACTCTACACCACTCCAACTACTAGATATACTACCAGAATTTCAAAACCGCCTGTCGGAATGAAATTTACTTAGTATCCGAAATTTTTAGATTGTGAGAACAGTTTAAATCAATAAAATGTGTTGATTCATCACTAATAACTTTGGAAAAATCTAGTGATTTAATGACCTATAGGAGTTAAAATTGGTCAGGTCACGTCAAGTCAAGCGAGAATAAAAAATATATCTGAAGGCCGACGTGACAAATTTTCATGACAATATGTTCTTCTTATAGTATTTTTACTCTACATCAATCGCACTATTAAAAATTCTATTACAATTTCAAAACCGCCTGACGGAATTAAATTTACTCAATACAGGATATTTTTGGATTGTGAGAATGGTAAAAATCAATAAAACATATTGATTAATCACAAATAACTTAGGAAAAACGTGGTGTTTTAATGACTTATAGGAGTCAAAAGTGTTCAGGCCAGGTTAAGTCACAGCACAACAAAAAATATATCTGAAGACTAATGTGACAAATTGTAATGATAACATGTTCTTCTCATAGAATTTCTACTCTACACTATCCAAACTACTAGAGATACTACTAGAATTTCAAAACCGTCTGACGTATTGAAATTTATTCAACATCCGAGATTTTTGGCTTGAGAGAACGGTTGAAATAAATAAAATGTTGATTAATCACAAACAACTTCGGAAAAATTAGGTGTTTTAAAGACTTATTATAGGAGTCAAACAAACAAAGTCAGGTGAAGTTACAACAGAAAATTTATCTGAAGGCGTACGTGACAAATTGTAATGACAATATGTTCTTGTCATAGTATTTCCACTCTACACCAATCGAACTATTAAAATTTCTATTAGAATTTCAAAACCGCCTGACGGAATTAAATTTACTCAATATCGGATATTTTTGGATTGTGAGAATGGTAAAAATCAATAAAACATATTGATTAATCACAAATAACTTAGGAAAAACGTGGTGTTTTAATGACTTATAGGAGTCAAAAATGATCAGGCCAGGTTAAGTCAGATCACAACAAAAAATATACCTGAAGACTAATGTGACAAATTGTAATGATAATATGTTCTTCTCATAGAATTTCTACTCTACACTATCGAAACTACTAGAGATACTACTAGAATTTCAAAACCGTCTGACGTATTGAAATTTATTCAACATCCGAGATTTTTGGCTTGTAAGAACGGTAGAAATAAATAAAATGTTGATTAATCACAAATAACTTCGGAAAAATTTGGTGTTTTAAAGACTTATTATAGGAGTCAAACATACAAAGTCAGGTGAAGTTAGAACAGAAAATATATCTGAAAGCCTACGTGAGAAATTGTAATGACAATATGTTCCTCTCATAGTATTTCCACTCTACACCAATCGAACTATTAAAAATTCTATTAGAATTTCAAAACCGCCTGACGGTATTAAATCTAGTCAATATCGGATAGTTTTGGATTGTGAGAATGGTAAAAATCAATAAAACATATTGATTAATCACAAATAACTTAGGAAAAACATGGTGTTTTAATGACTTACAGGAGTCAAAAATGATCAGGCCAGGTTAAGTCAGATCACAACAAAAAATATATCTGAAAACTAATGTAACAAACTGTAATGATAATATGTTCTTCTCATAGAATTTCTACTCTACACTATCCAAACTACTAGAGATACTACTATAATTTCAAAACCGTCTGACTTATTGAAATTTATTCTACATCCGAGATTTTTAGCTTGTGAGAACGATAGAAATAAATAAAATGTTGATTAATCACAAATAACTTCGGAAAAATTTGGTGTTTTAAAGACTTATTATAGGAGTCAAACATACAAAGTCAGGTGAAGTAAGAACAGAAAATATATCTGAAAGCCTACGTGACAAATTGTAATGACATTATGTTCTTCTCATAGTATTTCCACTCTACACCAATCGAACTATTAAAAATTCTATAAGAATTTCAAAACCGCCTAACGGAATTAAATTTACACAATATCGGATATTTTTGGTTTGTGAGAATGGTAAAAATCAATAAAAGATATTGATTAATCTCAAATAACTTAGGAAAAACGCGGTGTTGTAATGACTTATAGGAGTCAAAAATGTTCAGGCCAGGTTAAGTCAGATCACAACAAAAAATATATCTGAAGACTAATGTGACAAGTTGTAATGATAATATGTTCTTCTCATAGAATTTCTAATCTATACTATAAAAACTACTAGAGATACTCCTAGAATTTCAAAACCGTCTGACATAATGAAATTTACTGAACATCCGAGATTTTTGGATTGTGAGAAGGGTAAAAATTAAAAAAATGTTGATTAATCACAGATCACTTCGGAAAAAATTGGTGTTTTAAAGACTTAATAGGAGTCAAAAATACCAAAGTCAGGTCAAGTCAGAACAAAAAAATATATCTGAAGTCCTACGTGACAAATTTTAATGAAAATATGTTCTTCTCATAGAATTTTCACTCTACACCAATCGAACTATTACAAATTCTATAAGAATTTCAAAACCGCCTGATAGAATAAAATTTACTCAACATCCGAGCTTTTTGGATTGTGACAATGGTAAAAATCAATAAAACATGTTGATTAATCCCGGTGTTTTAATGACTTATCGGAATCAAAAATGATGAGGTCAGGTTAAGTCAGAACAGAACAAAAAATATATCTGAAGACTAACGTGACAAATTGTAATGATAATATGTTCTTCTCATAGTATTTCTACTCTACACCATTCCAATTACTAGAAATACTACTAGAATTTCAAAACCATCTGGCGGAATGAAATTTACTCAACATCCAAGATTTTTAAATTGTGAGAAGGGTAAAAATAAAAAAAATGTTGATTAATCACAAGTAACTTTGGAAAAATTTGGTGTTTTAATGATTTATAGAAGTAAAAAATACCACAGTCAGGTCAAGTCTGAACAGAAAAATATATCTGAGGTTTTACGTGACA